AGGGGAAGAAAGGAGGGGAGAGGAGGGGAGAGGAGGGGAGGGAAGGGGAAGAAAGGAGGGGAGAGGAGGGGAGAGGAAGGGAGAGGAGGGGAGAGGAGGGGAGAGGAAACACACAGAATATATACATGTACGTGTAGTGTACGATAGACATATGTGGACGATAGACATAACATCTATTTCACAGAATGAAATGGCAACTTGCAGAAGCTACTCCTCTGAACTGGGCTTATTAAGTCATACAAATAGCCAAATGTGATGGTCTACTCTCATAATTCCAACACTTGAGGAGCTAAGATAGAATATACGCGCGTTTGAGGCCAGCTTGGGCTACACAGCAAGACTCCAAGTCAGATATATATGACTACTCATTCATAATTCATATCAGTTACATGACAGGCAAAGATACCAGAAAGTTAAGAGCTTAAGGTCTTAACACAGTTGGCATAATGAAGAGATTTGTTCAAAGGTTTTTACCCATTCTCTGAGATGCCTGTCAAGGGACAGAAACTCTAGCTGTACCCATGTAGTGTCAGCCCCTTCATCCTGTGGTTCAGGGCTCTGCTGCTTTCTGCTCAGCTTTTTACAAACAAAAAGCAACACCTCAACTTTTTGTTATTTTGATTTTTGTTTAGCTGTTTTTTTTTTTTAAATGGTGCCCTTTTCACTGAAAACAAAAGCATAGATCAAAGGAAAAAATTCTGTCAAGCAAATATTTGAAAATTACTTCCAGCAGTTTCCAGGGTTAACGTGGAACTTGACACTTCGGGTTGTGATATTCGGGCAGATCCTGCTTGGCTGTGTTTTGATCACTATCTCAGAGTTTGTAAGGATTACTGAGCTTTAGAGATAGTCCTGATTAGAGAAGATGGAGGGAGAAGAAAAAACCAGAGAAACGTCAGCCACTGCCTGCACCCTATAGCCACAACTTTTCTGTTTTGAAAATAAGTCATTGCAGGTGTTCTTATCTTGATTTCTTGCTGAAGAATGCTTGTCCTGTTCAGAGGTTACCAGAAATTGCAGTGCACTGAAGACTCATTTATTTCTTACAAAATGGTGCTAACTCACCCCTGTCCTCTTAAATGTAAAACAGCTGCTACCCTGGTAGCCTGCGAAGCCTCACAGACAGAATCCTAGGCTCTCTGGGTGCCTGCCTGTATTACAGTGTTGGTGATAATACTCTGCCATCAGTGTGACAGGGAGACCATGTGCTTCAGTGTGAATATTTTCTCTACCTATATACAAAAGTTAAAATTTTATCTTGACAATAATGCATAATTGAATTTAAAAAACCACTGAATTTTGGTGCCATTTCAAGCACCATGACTTCCATTGATGTGTTGTGTGTGTGTGTGTGTGTAATTTGAAATATTACTTCTGAATTAAAGTAACTTGTTTAATGATAGAAAAGTTGAGTGGTCCGAAGGAAAACCCAAAACGCAGCGAGTTCAGAAAAAAAATGCTGAATTTTAAATTTTATTTATTTTATCAGTTCATATTTTTGCAATTTAGAACTTATAATGTCTTCATGTCTTACTTGTCAGGATGACGATGATTCCAAATTTGCCCATGAATATTTCAATGTCTGAGATATATGAAGATAGGTATTTTTACATGACCTTTGAATTTTCAAACAGGCAATGCTTTTTAAAAAATCTTATTTTTATATCACTGTATTACCAGAAAAGGTGGTTTTATTCTTTTTTTCCCTTAAACTTTCTTGTAGAAAACTCACTCAGTTCCTAGAAAGATAAGTTCATCTGTTTTGGACAATGCTAATGATTATTGTCCTGCTAAGGCAAGTCACTGAAAGAGAAAGCAGTGAATATTTCACATTTTCCCAGAGTGAGCCCTGCACCATCCCCACAGTAAATTCACAGAAGATAGGCTCTCGTCCTGTGATGTGTTTAGTCTTTGGAAAGAAAAATTATTCAAAGGCACCCTAGTATTATAAATCACAAACTTGAATATTTCAATAAGTACAAATCTCATATTAAAATAGCCTCCCAAGGCTCTGAAGACAGAGTTTAAAGTCCTGATGTTGAACTATAGCATTCTATAATTACATAAGTAAGCACAAGTAAAACTAATTATTTAATTATTAAAAAGTTTTATCTGCAAGGAGTAAAATTAAATGCCCTGTAATCGTAATCCTTAATTAATACCTTTAAATCCCATCCTCAGTCATGAGAATTAACTTTGCAGTTTAATTTGACATTTTACAGTGTGAAAAAGTGAGATAAAACCAAGCCTCCTGGGGAGAAGGCTCTAGGCAATCCTGCTTAATCGGGTCCCTCTTCATCATCTTCCACTTTGTCCCTGAAGTTTCTAGTGTTCCCCCAACCCCAGCACTTCCCTTTTCTCTTTTCTTTTCTTTTTATAAGCAGAACCAACTTTAAAGACCTAAAGCTAGGATTTTATTTTGCCACGATGTACTTGGATTTGTTACTGGTCAACCTAGAAGTTCATAATTCCAAGCAAAAATGTAGACTCTATCAACAATACATAACATTTTAGATATGACACCATGATCCATATCTAGCATAAATGTATAAATATTTATTTCTTGTAATGATGGCCTGCTCATTTTCAAGTTTTATTCAGTCATTTTTCCATTAACTCGCTGGCTCATTCGTTTTTCAAAACTGTAATGGGACTCTACTATGTGTTGGACTGACTGGACATGCCAACTAGCAGGACAGATGGACGAAGGCATAGAAGTTTCAATGCTTGGTGTTTTCTTAAATAAAAAGCTGTATAGTCCTAGCTTAGCATAGCAGCACACACCTGTAATTCCATACTCAGGCAATAGAGACTGAAGGATTGCCAAGTTCAAGCCTTGCCTGGGCCACAATAGGAAGACCCTGACTTGATAAGAAGAAAGCTGGGATTGTAACTGTGTAGCATGCTCACTTAGCACGTGGGAAGCGTGGGGTCAACCCACAGCACTGCCACGCCAGTGGGAAGGGGGAAGCAAACATGCGAACAGCAACAGAAACCTCTCCAGAGGAAATAACCTTTGTGGCTGTTAAACAGAAGGAGTGGAGGCATGGTCATGTGAGGGAAACTGGGAGATGTGCAACTGTACATCTGTGACTAGCTGAAGGGCAGCCGATGGTGGCAAAGGAGAAAGATGTGGAATACAACCAACCTTTCTGTGCCAAGCACAGGAGTTAGTGCTGTCTGCTGGCAAGGGATTTTGAGCAGAGGAATGACATAATCAGCTTTGCACTGACAGCAGGTAAGATTCCCTAAGGAAAAATCCTTAGAACTTGGAGATTTGCATGCAGCAGATCATAAGGGGAATTATCCTCACATGACAGGCAAGGCAGGAGGACCAGCCAGCTGCAGTGAGCTCCCAGCAGAAGTACAACTCACTCCCATGAGCTGTCCTAGAACTGCATCCACTGTCTAGAGTTGTAATCCCCTGGGGTCAGCTGCCATGCCTTCCCACAACACTGAGAGATTTCTGGATGTCTGCAATTACTAAGGAGGGCTTGTCCTAGGTGAGGTGGTTTCATACGTTGAGGGCAATGCCTACAGAGGGACCCAACTGTGAGTTATCACCACGGAACAGTTCTAGCAGCCAAAAGACCATTCCCATCTTAACCAGCATCTGATCAGCCATTGAAGAGTTCGCCGCA